CTAATTGAAGCTGATTCACCTCTGAAGGCATCTAGATTACTGGCAAATAGAAAAGTTTAAGAGAAGGAATAGATTTACAAGGAAGATGGATGAAGGAAGATGTATGTTTGTTGACCAGAATTAGCACTCTTCTTTCAACACCAGCTCAAACCCCCAGTCCACTTAGTGCGTGACAACTCGTGACGTCTCTTTACCTTTGTAGTGGATGGATCAGCTCCAGTATAGAGGTCCCTTTGCACGCTACCTTTCAGCGTCTCTGGTCAGGGTGGCTGGTCATCGTCAGAAGTCGTGTGGTTTACTCCATTCAACAGAACAAGCTTCCTTCGAAGTTGTAGGGCGTTACACCCGGGTGAGTTCACAGTGAGGTGCTGTGACTCTGCTGGGATGGACAGACCCTCGTCTCACGGTCAAATCCATCAGCTATTGATTAAATCTGAAAGTTCCTTAGGAACTCTCAGTAAGACTCCAGTCAGAAATTCCACTCAGAAGTGGAAGACTCCTAGGAAGACCATAGAAGAAGACTGAAAGAAGACTCCAAGACTCAAGGAAGACTCAAGGAAGACTGAATAGTCCCAGGAAGTGTTGACTTTTTAAAGAGTACTCACTTCCTGTCACTTGGTACTTCCTGATTGGTTGAAACAACCAGCAGGGGCAGTGTTTCAGTGATGTCAGAGGGTTATTAAAAGTCAAGAGAGGATGCAGGAATGTTTAAGAATGGTTAGTACAGACAGAGAAATGTTTATGAAGAGGTGAGACAAGGCAGGTGCCAGTTGAAGTTATTTACTGTCTGCTAGTTTTAAAAACAAGACACTTCGTTCTAATAACTTGTCTCTGTTTGTTTCTGACTTTTGACCGACATCACTACTCCTCATTCAGACAGAAAGTTAAAATGCACACTTACTTCATAAATAGACATTTAAACTGTATGATCAAAAATCTGCTGAGGTTTAAAAAGCATTAATACTGTTTCACAGTTGATTTAAATGAGTGGTTCACTTCAACATTTAGAAATGGTATGAACTAAACACACTTTGATTATCAAGATAGTCTAAAATAGTAATGATAATGTAAAAAAGAAGAGTGTTCTTTGAATTGATTAATTCAGGATACAATTAAATAGTCTCTTGATGAGATAATTTGTATTTCTGAATTCAGATCAATGAAATAACAGTTCCTGTCCCCTGAAGGTCTTCAGAGACAGGTTGAGGTCGGAGGCCTAGTTCACTACAGACGTAAGCGTTAACTTCACTGCTAATGAATTATTCTTAAAGCTAGTTCAAGCACAAAGAATATTATTTTTTTAATTACAACAGATTATTTTCTTTTTCGAATTAAATTTCTGTTCTATGACCGAGATAACTTGTGAGGAGTGTTTAATCTGTGACAAGAGACACCATTTTATCTGTGACCCATCAGAATAAATGTGGTCTTTTATTTAACATAATCAAAATTTGATATCAAAACATGTACACAGTGATTTGCTGATCTGTTTCTCATTAAAAAAAACTTGGCAAGCTTTACTAACAAGACAACAGAACATTACTGATTGAGACTGATTCATCTCTGAAGGCCTCTAGCTAGATTTACTGGCAAATAGAGTTTAAAGAGAAGGAGAATAGACGTTTAAAGATTTAAAGAGGATGTTTAGATGGATGAAAGTTATGTGTTGAACCAGAACATTGCACCCTTCCTCCGACATCCAGCTCAGCTTTCCGGTAAACTTCAGGACGTCAATGGCTTGTTACCTGAGATGGTGGGTACCTCCACTCTGGAACAGAAGTCCATTAGTACGCTCCCTTTTCAGCGTCTCCGGTTAAAGTAGTTCCATATGCTCCGATCAACCGAATAAGCTTCCTTCGAAGTTGAGAGCATGTACTGCTCGGGTTGAGTCACAGCTGAGGCAGGCTGTGACTACGCTGGACTGGAGAGACCTTTGGCACATGGTCAAATCCATCCGCTACTTAGTTGAGTCTCATCTCTGACTGAAAGTTCCAGCAAGACTGGAAAAGACTTCGAAGAAGACTTCGACTGAAGACTGAGTTCCAAGACTTAGAAGACTCCAAGACTGAATAGTTCCAAGAAGTGTTGCCTTTTAAAGGGGTATCCACTTCCTGTTACGTGGTACTTCCTGATTGGTTGAAACAACCAGCAGGGGAGTGGTTCTAGTGATGTCAGAGGGTCACTAGAAGTCAAGAGACAGCAGGAATGTTTAAGAACGGTTAGTACAGATGGAGAAATGTTTATGACGAGGTGAGACAAAGCAGGTGCCAGCAGAAGTTATTTACTGTCTGCGAGTTTTAAAAACAAGACACTTCGTTCTAATAACTCGTCTATGTTTGTCTCTGACTTTCGACCGACATCCACTACTACTCCTCATTCAGACAGAAAGTTAAAATGCACACTTACTTCGTAAATAGGCATTTAACTGTATGATCAAAAATCTAATGACGTTTAAAAATAATTAATGTTGTTTCACAGTTGATTTAAATGAGTGGTTTACTTCAACATTAGAAATGATATGAACTAAACACACTTTTGATTATCAAGATATTGTAAAATAGTAATGATAATATAAAAAAGAAGAGTGTTCTTTCAATCGATTAATTCAGGATACAATTAAATAGTCTCTTGATGAGATAATTTGTATTTCTGGATTCAAATCAATGAAATAACAGTTCCTGTCCCCTGAAGGTCTTCAGAGAAAGATTGTTGTCGGAGGCTAGTTCATTACACTATCTTGCTTGGTGGTGTTTCTAGTGTAAAATACTTCCACACAGCGGACATGTTTCTATGAAAAGTTAGTTATCTGTTAGTCATAGTGTTGCTCACTCAGTCCTTACATTGTAGCTGGCTACAGACTATGAAATGGATTTCCTGAATGTGAGGTGGGTCTTGTTACTCTGAGTTCATGAGACACGCCTCCGTTCAGGAAATCCATTCCATAGTTTGATGCCAACATGCATCATGGATCGGAAATCTCTGCAGGTTGGATCAGAAAATTCTGATACGTAAACTATGCTGGTATCGGAAGCCGATACCGATACCGGATCGGCCCCATACCTATTAAAAACAAGTTAACCAAACTGTAAACTACATTAAGGAACTCGACTCTGTTCTGTTTTCGCCCTGCACACTGGTCCCACATTGTTCATCTGGTTCATTCAGGCTGTCATTCATTTGCTTAAAGTAGCTTAAAATATTAAATTAATTGAATAAAAAACAGAGGGTAATTTTAAATAAATAGTTCATCCAACATCTCTCTCTTCGACATCCTCCTCCACTGCACCTGGGCCAAGCCTCATTCAGAACTGGTCCACCTGGTGGGGAGACAGCTTCTCCTCACAGGGAAAAAAAAAACCTCAGTTGGTTTTTGTGTGATCGAAGTAAACACAAGCAAACATTTTTAAGAACATTGATTTACCTGCTGTAAATCAGCTACTGATTATCACAGAGTAGAAAGTCCGACATCATCATTGTCGACTTGTTTCTGGTCCACTCAGCGACCGGTGTGGAGATATTATATGAAGCGGTCCCGCTTGGCATCAAATCTGTTGACTCATTCAAAATCCAGCCAAAATCCAGCTTTAACTTGTTAGGATGTTGTTAGTTGAGCTTTTAGCCCAGAGGAAAGTCCTTACAGGGAGAGGGCTGAGGCAGCACACATGCGTATTAGGTGAATGTACAAAATTCAGTGTCAACTAATGACCTGGCATGGCAACTACAGCAGATTCAGGAGGGCTGGGGTGGATTCCTCTGGATGCATGTAAACACAAAATCCATTCATGTCAACATGGATTTTTCCTCTAATTACCATATGAAAAAAACCCTACGTTTTCTCCCACCCTGTCTGTGTAAATAGGGCCTGAATCACAAACAACATTTTTTAAATTTATCTGACACTGGAAACGGCCAGTCTAGGTTAAAATCACCAACAAAGACAATCTCACTGAAATGTAAATTTGTTAGGAAGTCAGTTAAAGACAATAGGGTTTCAGAAGGTGCTGGGTCTTGCATCCCACAAGAGTTCATGGCTGACCACCCTGCAAGTTAATGTTTTTTGCCAAGAGTTCAAATTGATTAGGGACTGTTTTAGAAACTCTTTAAATACATATTGAAACAATGTGAATATTCATGTCTTAGGTATACTTGTCACTAGTAAAATACAATAAAAAAAAATCAAGCTTTAATGGGTGATTGTTTTAAATTGGGTTAATCAAGACCATCAATCCAATGTGTTTCTGATCAATTTTCAACATCACACTGCTGATAAATAAAGATCTGGCAAATAGTAGTTGATTAAAGTTAAACACATTTCTTTGTTAGAGTCTTTCCCACCCAAGCATAACCTTACTAAGTGAAAGAGCTTGCCATTGGGAGTGGTGGCGCAGAGGTTAGAGAGGTGGGCTTGTGATCCGAAGATCGCCGGTTCACGCCCCGGCCCCGACAACATCAAAAATTGTGGGTGGGGTAGGTGAAACACCCCCATTTGCCCCCACCCTCATTCGCCCCACTCTGGGCCCATGAGCAAGGCCCTTAACCCCACCATGTGCTCCCTAAAACAGGTCTCTCTTGAAAATGAGTTATCGTGGCTCAATGAGACTAACCTGGATAAATAAAGGCTAAATGAAAAAAAAAATTGTGGTGCAGTAGAGAATTAATTAAGCATGCTTTGGGGTCTTTGAAACTGATCTCTAAGAAAGGAAAGGCACAGTCTGACTTCCAGAAGGAAAAACTCTGCTGTTGTCGCATAGATCATGTGATGTCTCTGTCAGAGGCTGTCAATTAAGATCTGACCTGTGGAGTCCAGGAGTCTCAAAGGAAGTCTAGAGGTTTCAATTCAATTCATTTTATTTATATAGCACCAAATCACAACAAAGTTGTCTCAGGGCACTTTACAGGAACATTCACATACATAAAAGCCAATTAGTAAAGTTATCTATCTAGGTTTGTGTTTTGATTTTATATTAATGCGTTTGAGACTTGTAAAATTGAAAACTTACCGCCAAGACAGGCTCCCATGGCCAAAGCAAAGATGAGAGGTTTTACTGGCAGGTTTACCTCTGAATCCTGACTCAGGTTAATGAGGACTGGAATCTGTGAGTAACACACAAACATTTAAAATCACTCAAAGTCAATATTTAGTAAACTACACCTTTTCATTTTCACTGTTCTCTGTTAGTGAGGCAGAGGTCAAGATGGTATAGGGGCTGGGCAGCCGACTTGTGATCTGAAGGTCCTGGGTTTGATCCTTGGTCACTGCACACCTTGTGGTGTCTCTGAGCAGGACACCTAATACCAAATTGCTCCCTGACATACTGTAGCTGCCCACTGCTCCACCTGGGTGTATCCCAGGTGCAATGGGTTAAATGCAGAGAGCCAATTTTGTCTTTGTATGGGAACATACAATGATGACAACTGTTGGATATTATTTTTTGTCTAGACTGGTCCTATGGTTTTGATCTGCTCAGAGACGGGATTATAATGAAATTATGACCCGGTTCTGACTGGGTAAAACTGGGCCAGCAATGCTAAAAAGAGTCTCCCAGGGATTCAATATCTGTCAAGGAACAGAGTTTAATCTGCTTGCCACATCACATAGAAAGGCTTTTTGAAGCACCGTCTCATATTTCCTAACACATCAGAACCACATAAGATCCATTGCGATCCCACTTAGTCACACCCCCTCATACACTGACAGGTTGAGCTCCCCTTCCGCAAAGGAGGAGTCTAGGACCCTAGGACTCTAGGATCCTCCACCATAACCCTCAGCACTGGCTCTCCTCAGGGATGTGTGTTGAGCCCCCTCCTGTTTACTCTGCTTACGTATGATTGTGCAGCTACCCATCCAGGCTGTCACATTGCAAAGTTTGCAGACGATACAGCGGTGGTGGGATGCATCACCCTTTGGAGCACAAGTTAGGAGTCATCAGGACTCTTTATCACAGAGCAGACAGTGTCCCCACTAGCTCAGGAGCCAGGCAGAAGGAGAAATCCCACACAAGACAGACTCTAGAGCAATGAGGATATCCTAACTGGACCTTCCTGAAAGCAGAGAAGAAACCCAAATAGGACTCCAGTCAGCCAACAGGTGAAAAGGAGGAACCCAGACCCAGACCAGTGGTCATTCCATATGTTGAGGGAGTACCATAGAAACTGAGACGTTTATTTTCTAAACATAACGTTCCAGTGGCTTTTAAACCCCATAATACATTATGGCAAAGAGTCAGAGTCAGAGTTTCTTTATTGTCATTCGCACCTCATGTGGTACATGTGGTGGAGCGAAATTATGTACACAGGGTCCCAGTTACATCCAACAATAAAATGTATAAGAAAAACAGTAAT